TTTCCCTTTATATTTTCTTTTGAGTTATTGTAATGCAGACTCTCTTTCCATTCACAGTACTAGACCCTCTCTCCCTCTCTTTACATATTAACACCAACATAAATGCTCAAAACACAGTGAAGTACAGGTACGGTCCCAAATATAAAGCTACATTCTTCATGTTTATGCTACATATGTGCGCGCACACACACACACATATATATATACATGTATGTATTCATCCATGAGTAATGAGATTTTTTTTTTGGTTTGGGGAGGGGTTTTAATGAAGTTTTGTGCTTTGATGTTATTTGGTTTTGAAGTACTAGATATAACAATTAACGTTGGTATCAGAGCTTTCTTTCTTAAGTCTTGATTACGACTGGCTTCAAAGTTGATTTATCGGTTTGGTCTCCTTACTGCAAATACTATTAGCACGATTAAGTGGTTGTCATGAAGTCTGTTAGCATCTATAGCAGTGCATATTGTATGCATGTTCATTATTGCTTATATATCTTGATACTAATTGGTTTATGTGGGTGTGTACCTAGGGCCGGGTGTGGGTTGAATTAGGTTAGTTTTGGGCCTAACCCAACATATTCAGTTTGATGAGAAATCTCATAGAACCAACTCACACACAGGTTTGAAACCGAACCTAACCGATCAAGGTTGGGTTGGGTTGGTTTGGTTTTGGGCTTGAGCCGAATCACACAAGGATCTGTCGGGATTGACGGGACTTGAACCCGCTACTTCCGCCTTGACAGGACGGTGCTCTGACCAATTGAATTATTTTCTAATTGGTGCCAGAATTCAACTTAAGTCTTTCATAAGAAAGAATTCTTGGGTTCGATACTGGGAACTTGATAGGAATTCGTGAGGAGTAAGATGAGCTCAAACTCTCATGGAGCGGACTGTACGTAAAAGTTGCTTGGGTACGAGGTTGAGTTATGACAAAAAATGTTATACAATTCAAAATTAAAAATATTACTCATCCAAATTCAATCTATATGCTAAAAATGTTATAGTCATCCAAATTGCAAATTCAATACGAAATTAAAAATATTAAAGTCATCCAATTAAAAATAATAATGAAGTCATCCAACCTGGGCATATTAAAGTCATTCGATTAAAATAATAACAAAGTTATCCAACCTCAGTAAATTCGAAATTTAAAATATTACAGCTATCCAAAATCAAATGGAGAGTAATAACCATTCGTGACCAAAAGAAGAACAAAAGAATCATTCCTAATCCCAATTCCCATAGTGATACAAACTGACCATTCCTGATAAAAAGAAATGTGCATTCCTCCAACAAAGAAATGTGCATTCCTATAACAAAACAAATGAAATACTTACGAAAAAATGATTCATACTTTGAATAGCCTTTAGCAAATATTATAGCATTTTCCTGAAAAACTTGTAAAATGAATGAATCATTTAGCCTTGAGCCTTTGATTATCTTCAGTTGGTTCCAAAAGCTCTACAAAAAAGTGATTGGGTTAACAATAAAGTAGATAGAAACACGTAAAATTAACTTATATACTTTCATCCAATTGGTTATAATGCTCAACATTTTTCATGTAGAATCCATCCAAGTTTGGAGAAGCTTTCACTCAATTTTGGGTGCACACCAAGACCTTCACCATTTTAGTTCTTAAAGAACTACGAAAATATCAAGGATCCTCATGTACTAAAATTCTAAAGCAACAATAGACACTTGTATTGCCAACACATCTCTGGCTAGGTTGGACAAGATACTGCCATATTTACTGCTGTTAACATTATACCTATTAAGAAGATCGAAATCATTGTTCTCTATGCTTTTACGAGCATCAAATAAGTACTTGTCCACATCATTTTTTACGTAAGCGCTATCTTTTGCTGCTTGTTTTTCCATAAACCTAGAAAGACGAGCATCACTCATAGAAGAAGAAAACAGCCTTTACGAGAATTAAAACAATTGATACTTGACTACTTCAGAAACTCCTTCACATCCCACGTAGTACTCCTAAATAGACATCAGATTAGCTTTCAAAGACATAGTACTTCCTCTCTTATTCCTTTCCTTCATATGTTGCTTTTCTTCTCCTTTGGGAGGTTTGATTTATGTCCCCCTTCCTCTTGTTCTTGTGAGTTTGATTTTATATATATGGTTGGAGAATCCAAACCCCCATCGGCCTTCCCTGGTGTAGATTGAAATCCCACCGAGGTTGTGTTGGTGTTTTCCTTAAAAAAAAAAAAACAGCCATAATTGATCAATCACACCTGGAATTGATCCTCCAAATATGTCAATTCTCAACAGACAAAACAAAATTAACCAATTAAACTAAATAATAAATGAAAGCCTATTTTTCAAAATTTCAAAATAAATACAAATTGTAGAAGCGTGGATATGAAAGCTTATTTTCAATCAATTTATCAGGAATAAGATATAATTTACTGTTGTTTCATAGTTTTTTTTTTATCTTGTTTACTGTTTTATATTTAAGATAATAATTGTGCACTGTTTATTAGAGATTTCTATTGATATCTTGAGAAATTCACTGGTAGGATGCACAGTGCGCTTTTTTCCACATGGTTTGCACGAATAACAATTTCATACAAGTAAATGCTGCTATTGCCTTGTGCTTGATTTTCTTCAATTGTATTCAAATCTCTTGGATGTGCGCTTTAAGATGGCAGTGACTATCTTGATGCATATGGGAATAAAAGACTGCTGCTCCCCTTTTGACTTTTTCTCCCTTGTCAGTTTGGGACCCCACCCCACCCCCATTCACAATTATGGCTTTGTTGTCATTCCAGTAATATTTGAGAATCTTGTGTATATAGGTTCATTTTGATGAACCTTCTGAATATTAATGCTCTTCTTTAGGCACATTGTATGTGGTACTCATGTCTTATCTGCTTTTGAAAGATCAGAACAGTCTACACAGTACACGCTCTGGTGGTCTTTGCGTATGGAAACATGGACAATTGCTCCTGTGAAGTCAAAGAAAGAAGATAGGGAATTCATCTTCACATTCTGAAGGTTAATTCCTAAAGCAATCAAAGTAAATCCACTTTGGGAATTAATAGATGTTTTCACTCTTTTTTTCTCCATCACGTGCTTGCTACTTGCGTGTTTTCCGCTGTGATAATCCACGTTTTCCGTCAGCCCCTCACCCCAAAAACCAAACAATAAAATACAGAAATGACCAGACTAAATGTGTAGCTGGCAGATAAATTGATATAAGGTGGAGATTGCATTGGGGACTTCCCAATATGAACCTATTTAAAGTTTAAAATTCTAAAGCAAGTATAAATTTACTTTTGCTTAGTACTTTTTAGAATTTTAAATTAGGAAAGTTTTTACTTGATATTTTGATAACCTCTTATTATAGGGATTTTAGGTATGAAGATTTTCTCTAAATTTTTTTGATTCTTCTCTCTCTCTCTCTCTCTCTCAGAGGGTATTGAAGAAGGAACCAATAACCCTGTAGCAAGAACCTTGGGAATCATATGAATGTGATCATAATTTTAGATAAAATTTGTTGACTTTCAAGAACTATGCATATATAAAACTGAATATGATGATTTGGAGTTACAGTTGCACCTAATGCTATAGTTATGACTTGAATAACCAAGAGTACTTATCTGCCAGCTGCACTTAGTAAAACAGTTTTTGATGTATAAAAGTCCACAAATAATTTCATGGACAATATAGCATGATTAGTAGTAAGTACCGATGTCTTATCTGGTATAGACACCAGTTTCCCACAGCTTCTTTGCAATGCATGAGGCTGAAAGAGTTTCTATCTTTTCATTTTTGTAACACAACTAATGATTCAACTTCATACCTTCAAAAGATAAGTCCTACTATAATGTACAATGCGAATGTTACTTCAGCAGCTAACTGGACAAATAAATACTATGAAAAAAATTATGGAGTTTCTAAAGCAACATATTGTATTAAGTTTAACTCATTGGTGTAATAACTTATTTGCTTTCCTGTATTATAAAGCTGGAAAGTGATTGTGCCTCTTATATTCTTGTGTAATTTGGTGCCATTTGAACGGATTTGTCTTTAACTAAGAAAATCCCACGCTGCTTTAGCATGCAAATTGATTGAATTTCAGGTGCAATCTCTTGGAGGGAGATCTAATACATTCCTATGGGAAATCAAAGACAGTATCAAAATTCAAAACCCATCTTGAATCTCAGGTACAAATAGAATGCTGAACTGAAAGGATAAGGATGGGTTTACATGAAATTTTGATTTATTACTGTCCGGGTGTACCTTAATTATTTTATTTTTCCATTTCTATCATTTTGAAATGAAATTCTTTGATAATATAGGTTAAAGAAAAACAATTTCAAAATGATGGAATCTGGGTGATGATTATGTTTGTTGAAAAAATTCCTTTTCTTCAATCCGAAATAATAACACTTGTTTTTATGGGCCCAGAGCCTCTTGGATACATGTATAGGTAAAAAAAAAGGTGTATGCGCAGAGAGCAGCTTGCTGAATATTTGGTCAGTTCCATTCTGGATGCTGAGAAATTCAAAAGTTAGATGTTGACTACTTGGAATTCTATTGTATTCTAGCCTCGAGGCACTACTTGTCTGTGATGCATAAGAGTTTCTGGTTGAAAAATCATAAACGACCAAGCAGCTTTGCTACAAATTGAAGATGTTCCAGCTAACTGAGCGTTGTTCCTAATTTCTCCTTGATTTCATATGTGATACAAGTCCTTGTATGTCCCACGGTAGAAATGTTCATACCAGCACTAGAAATGCAGTAATCTGAGGAAATAGCAGGTTACATTTATTGACATGTTAATAGAAATGGATTTTGGTACTGAACTAAGAAGTATGTTGAAACGTGAGAGAAAAAGATGAGAAGTTTCTCGATTGCTTTACAGCGCACTGCGTCAAGTTATTCGGATATGAGAATTTCAGAAGCTGATTACTTTTAACATTAAGTTGGAAGTAAACAACAGCTTTTCTTTACAAGAGCAAACGACTGGGAGCAGCTTTCATTCATTGGGCGGGAAGTCTTCGTCTGAGGCGTTTCCCAGAAATGAACCCAGAGTCTCTCAGGATGCTGAAGGTCTTATCATCCTGTGAAACAAGTATAGCTTCATATTTGAGTTGAGGCAGCAATGGTATGCAGAAGATAAAGTTTGCTGTTCACCTTCTTTGTCTTCTTCATGGACTCGTCCAGTTTAGCAATTTTTGCTGCATTTTGTTTCTCATGTTCAGATAACATGATCTTCTCCTTCCTCCTTGATCATTGCAAAACTAAACAAAAGTTTCATTTCTTTTTAAGAGGAGGAATGAAAAACGCGAAAGGTACATCTTGCTCACCTGGTTCATATCGAGTGAATAACCTTTCTCCTCTTCATATTTGTCAATTACATGTGTCAAAAACCATCACTTCATTAAGGATTAAATACTTCGCTGACAGTGATACAAAGACTGTTTTATGCCATATCAAAATCAGAAATGTTGAACTGTCAATGCCATCTATGGCACTGTCCAACGGTCTGCTAGTTAACATTTCCGTGTTCGGAAATAGTCTTTTATGAAAGAAGTCGAAGTTGGCATGTCCACTGGATTATGAATTAATTGTTTTGTTTTCCGGAAATATGAACCTTATAGCTACTATACCAACAATAGGGCGCATCAATTGCCAATTCAAGGTTTAAACACTTAGATTTTCCAACTGATGCAACTCACAGATGATACCAACAGAAAGTACCTTTCAAACCCTGCAGATGTGAAGCTTTTCAACTTGCAGAAACTGTGGTGTACGGCTTGGAACTTTGAAGTCTCATTCTTCAGCGAGCTCTCACACTGGTTAATTCAATCATTTGATCAAGTACGATAAAAGGCAAACATGGAAAACTATTATAAAATTTGACTGCTTATATTCATCCAATACGCGGACCTGGCAAAGGTTTGCCTGGCAATTCAACATGGAAAACCCACTTGAAGATGAAAGCTGGATATAATGATCACAGAGAAATATCAAACAACAGCTGCAAATCGGAGAACGCACAATATTCCCATTGCTGAAGCCTATGATCCGGGAATCTTCTCACCTTTATTTCTCAAGTTTTGATTTAATTTAAACCCATCCAAATTTTACTTTATGTCTGAAGCCACACTGTCGACAAAATCAAACTAGCGGTCATTTTATAATTGCTAGTAGTATGGCAAATTTTGATTTAACAATCTTCCACTAGTATATCGTGCAATAATTGAAAGCAAAGAAAATGATAGATGAGTGTGACAAAGAGTTGCATCTATCTCTAAAACGAAATCGAGACTACAGATTTCCATGATTAATGAAATACGAAGGAACAAGACAACAGACAAGTCGGGCAGGCTCGTAAAATTTCTGTAATTTCTCAATTATCGCTGTGATTGATTGATTCAGACATTCAGTAAACAGAGGATGATCAATATCAATTAAATTCACACGTAATTAAATAGTATATTCTTAATTCTGTTAATTTTTAAATGAAATCTACAGACACGAATCGAAGTGCGGTAGCATTTTTTAAGTCAAAAAATATCCTAGATTGAGTCTATAGGATTATGAAACGGTAGCATTTTTAAATAGTTTTTACTATTAAAGAAACTATTAACACAGCAGAAAAATTACATTTCAATATATTCAAATCAGACATAATCAGTGAGAATATATGTATACGCCTGGACAAGCACGTAGAATATAAATAAGATAACCAGCATTGCTGCATAGATCTGAGAGAGTACACATTTCACCTAGAAATTGTCTCTTCGTTCTTCTTCTGACCGTCCTTTTGCTCCTTCTCCTGAGCTGCTTAAGAGCGCACATGATTCCTTTGATATCACTACATTGAATTTTCAACAGTTTTACAAAAAAAAAAAATAATAATAACGGAACATTCGAATATAAGGAGTGGAAATTGAAGAATGACGACTTGGAGATGTCCGCATCAAAATCATTGTCGACTCGCAGATTATGATTTGTCCGACTGCAAAACTTGCTTCTTCGAGCTCGCTTTTGTGGCTGACATTGTGAAGATCTTATTTCTATGAAAATCTTCAGATTGGTAGGAAAGCAAATGTTCGCGCGTCTTTGTGTTGAGAGAGAGAGAGGGAGAAGGGTGGGGGTAGGGGAATGAGAAAAGTAGAGAATTTGAAATTCTATCGGTAACCATTAGAATAATGTTACTTTGCTAGAAGAATTTGGTTAGATGTAGTGACGGAAGACGCAGGAGATGATTGGGTGGGAATGGGAAAACTGACTGTGCAATGATGAAATGGCATGTGACATTATGCCAACCATTATGTTAAACTTTGTATTCATGTTGCATGATTAGGCTGAATAACGCTACTTTGCCAGAATATTGTCAGACGTCGTGGCAGGAGGTGATTGGGTGGGAAAACTGACTGTTTTTAAAACAATCCAACGATAAAATGTCGTGTGGCATTATGTCAATCATTTTGTCAAACTTTGTGTTCATGTAGCATGATTAGGCCGAATAAGCATGATTAGAATTGGCATTCACAAGCATGGCATCTTGGTAGAATTGTTTTTCTTACATTTTGGTACGGTCGTCGAATTCCTGAGAGAAAAAAGTTGGTTCATTATTGAAGGTTTTTGATAAATATCCAACACAATCATTCTTGTATTATTCAAATTATATCGAAACCTCAACAAATTTAACCGTATTTTCATTTACACAGTTCTAGTATAAATTCCATTCAATATAATAGTCACATTGCATTTCCATTTAAATAAGGATCTGTCTAGTAAATCCAACGGACCACCCAATCCCTATTCACTATCATCTTGTACAAGAAAGTGACGCGCACGAAAACAAAAAACCTAATTTCCTAGCGAAATCACATTATAAGTTTTAGGCAAATTGAATTAACTTCTTTGGCCGTTTGTACCAAACATCACAATCTTCTTTTCAATTTCGGTGGTGAAATTGCGTGAATTTTGGGGAAGATTATTTTGAACCAAGTACCTAAATTTGAGATGGGCCTCAAAATAAGATTTTTCCTACATCTTAAGATGAAATAAATGGTGGACCACATAGTTGCTGGTGAAGATTTTGAAATGGTCAACTTAGACATGAGAGACATAAATGAGGAATTAGGGCATTGTATATGTATTAATATATTTTGTTATATGTATCTCCTTCTTAATCTTACTAATATGAATATGTCATTGCAGTTTTGGTCGTGGCGTGAGAGTTTGTAAGCGTTATTTCCTAAGTCCAATCAACGTTAGACCTAAACACTTTTAACATATAATTGATATATATTTATGGCAAGATCCATTATTTAATTGAATTAATGTTCCAATAAATTAAATAATAATTTGTTGATCACAAGGAATTGTGATTATAGATACAAATTACATATGACTGAATTTTAAATCATCAGTGGTCGTAAGTAATACATCCATTCTTACTAAGAAATGAAAAGAAACCTCAAAAATG